TTGCTTTGTTCAACTTTAACTATCTGCTCTGTCATTGTAATTATTGTATCATATATTTATTCTATCCTAGCCTCTATTTCATGTTCTGTGTTTATAGTGTGATAACTGTGTTTAAATAAAGTACAGGGCTACAGGCACTATGTCAGAGTCTGAAACAGATGTCAGTGATATGCTTAATAGTGATAATGAGAACATCATGCTGGAAACACCATCAAAAGGCTCTACTGGCCCTTTTCTCCAGCCTGGAACAGGCCCTCACCCATTTTCAGACGATGACATTACTTGCTACCAACCACAACCCAGGGCATCTGAAGCCAACGCAACAGAATGAACAGATGGACCATGCGTCAGCTCAACCAAAGCTTCCCTTAACTACAGTGGGCGCAAACGACCAATTGCAACAGAATCCGAACAAGAATCAGATAGCTTCACCAGCCCACCTGCTACAAATAGACAAAAAGCCTATAGACCTGCAGAACCTATGCAGCGCAGCTCAAATCCTTTCCTACAAATGCAAGTGCTGAATCATCTGGAAACAAGTAACACTAACAACAGCACTGTAATAATTAAACAACTACCTCCCGATACAAAAAAAATCTCCCTGGATCCTATTTCAGTGGCAAAAGAATTGAAAAAAATAATCCAGGACTCCTCAATCAAAGATGTGCGAATCAACAGACAACAAAAGCCGCTAGTACATCATAGCAGTAGAATTTAATCCATCTGAAAAACAAGCACAAGAAACGCTTCTATCTGCAACCAAACTTGGAAACTGGCAAATAAAATGCTACAGACCATCAACAGATATGGGCAATTCATGCTCAGGAGTCATTGGCCCAGTGGGCCTGGATGTCAATTTGGAGGAGCTTTTGGACTTGCAGAGACAGTCCTGCAGAATAGCCAAGATCACTCGACTACCAAAATTTTCTGGAATGGTAAAGGAGGACTCCCTGGTCCTGAAACTTGACTTTGAGGGAAACCAGATTCCAGATAAAGTCCTCTTTGATTTTATCTCGTACTAAGTAAGAATGTACAATCCCCCACCTCTCCGATGCTACAGATGCCAACGACCCAGGCACCTCGCCAGCGGATGCACTGCACCTGAGCGCTGTCTACTGTGCGCAGGAGGCCACTCTAAAGATGTGTGCACCTCATCAACACACAAGTGTGCAAACTGTGGTGAACCTCTCATTGCCAGTAATAGAGAATGCTGATACAACATCCAGGCAAAGGCAATAGACACTCTGAGTCCTGAGAAGAGATGGCATGTCTTATGACTCAGCTAGAAGGCAAACAAACTTGATGCTAACAAACCATTAACCAATAAGAAACACTAACAAGAGTCTGAACAATCAAGTAGCAAAAAGCTTGCCTCAACCAAGTGCACTGAAAGAAACACCTTTCCAGACAACCTCAGTCCAAGCAGATGTGCACAGATCCCAGGGCTCATACTTCAGCAGCTTGCCCTGCCAACAAGGTACACCAACATTAGATAAGACCTACAGCCAAGTGTCCCAGTCCTCTAGGAGTAACAACCCAAACCATAGCCTCAACCAGCCAGCCTCTGAACAGCCGCCAATGATTGACGCAATAGAGACTTTAACAAACTTCATAAAAAATGAGATCCAGAAAGTCAGCATATCAATCTGCAAATTTTTAAAAGAAATTATTCTCACAGATTTCTCCAAGGAGAACAGGAAGGAAAAAGAACTGCTCACCATCAGTGCCACTAGGAAACATTTTGGTAACAGCATTGCTGAAGCCCTGCTAGAAGAGCTGCATCTGAGGAACATTACTGCTGCAGAGACTGCCATAACAAAAGATGCCCCTGTGATAGAAGCTTGCAATTTCACCCAGCCTGGCTCATCTGACCTGCTCATAGAGAATCACAAGAAAAAAAAGGGTACCCTAAACTGAAATTGCCTAAGAGTGCACCCTCATCCAAAGTAGAAGAATTGCAATCTGCTCAGGAGAGACAAATAAAATCAACCAGGATCACAAAAAAAAAGAAAACTTGAATGGCTCCCAACAATTTAAACTTCATACAGTGAACCAATGAATCAGAATCTCAACTTGAAATCTACTTCCTGAACTGCAATGGCCTCGAGGGTAAAGTGTCTGAGCTCAAGATATATATGTACACTAGGAAGCCTGACCTGGTTTGCTTATGCAAAACGTGGCTAAAGAAAAATGAACCTAAATTCCTTGGTTACCAGTGCACATAGAACCAGAGAAAATATGGGCTCTCTGGTTCTATGGGCACATAGAACCAGAGAAAAGGAGGGCTAGGAATTTTAATCAGGGAAGATGTCACATTTGAGCCAAAGCAATTGAACCCTTTCCAGACTGGCTCACTGGAATGCCAGGCCATCCAGATATATGCCAATTCTGGTAGGGTTAGCATACTGAATGCTTATAATCCTTGCAAAAACATCTCGGTACAAGAGCTGCAGCACTATACTAGTCAGCTGGGAAACAGCTTTATTCTTGTTGGGGACTTCAATGGACATTCGCTGCTATGGGACTCTCGCAACCGATCCAACTTCACAGGCAGAAGCATTGAAAGATTGCTGGACTTGCACAACCATATACTGCTCAATGACCCGGACACACCCACCTACATTGACAACCGCACAGGGTCAACCTCATGCCTTGATCTCTGCATAGCAACACACAATTTGGGCATCAAAGGAGAGCTGCACCGGGGTGTTGATATAGGAAGTGACCACTTCCCCTTGGAAATCACCTTTGGCTTTGGATGTACAAAGCGTAGCATGAGCCCACAACAAAATTAGGCTTTAAAGAGTGCTGACTGGAAAAAGTGGACCTCATTGTTTCTCCAAGTTAGTGAATCCTCGGATAAAACAATGAATCCCCTAGATGTGGAAACCCTGGGAGCGCAGCCGTGCACCACCAATTTTGTGCACCAATAAGCCTTGAATCGAACGCCTTGGATCTCTCTGGAAGCTAAGGTGACAGGTGATTTCATACCAGGCTCAGCTTTATCATCTCTTCAATAGAAATATTTTAAGGGGAGCATCTAGGGTAAAATGTATCTTGGCTATTTACATATGGAACGCTCTGAAATTTGGTACACATATGTAAAATAGAAATCGATCCTCCTAGGATTTTCAAGGTACAACATCGAGACACATATCATTCAATGCATAAAGACCATATCTATAAAACACTCTGCGTTTTTGGAAATTCTCATTTTTATGGGTTTGGGGGCATTGTTTGTAAATTTTTTCGATTTTACCCAAACCCCCCCCACCAGTTTTTTTAGTGGGTTTTATTCCCTTTTAGTGGAATAAAATCCAAACTATAATGAAATTAGAAAAACTCCTACAGCGATTTGTAGATCTTTTTTTGTGCATCGAATGGTATATGTCTCATTGTTGTAGCTTAAAAACTCTAGGAGGAGATAGGATAGGTTTGCCATGAGAGAGGTTTTCATGTTTTCAAACTTTTCAGTAGAGGCAAAAAACCATGGCGGCATGGCGCGCTATGTAAAGGCATGTAACGTAACAGTCATAGCTTAGATACCGGAAGTAAGCACTATCTCATTTCAAAGTCAGTCAGCGGTTCGTAGGACAACTACATCAACCCCTTTCCGCATGATGGCTGAGTGATAACTGAGCTGCAGGTCCAGTGATAGCCATTTTATATGGCTTTGCCATAATTATTCCCATAGACTTTTGTGAAGGAACCCCACCACCCTCCCCCCTTTCAGGATCTGTCCTGAATGCATAAATCAACGTTCAGAGATTATTCTAGTACCGTTCAATGCGGTAGAAAGTAAGCTTTAAGATGACCTTAAAAACTGGAAAAGCCGAAAATTTAGATTTTTAGGGTAGACGCTCCCCTTAAGCAAAATCCCAGAGTTAAGAAATAAGGGCAAAGAAGGAACTGTTTTCTTAAATCTCTTGTTTGAAACTATTCCCAACGCTCATTAGTCATAGATGGTAGACATAAGACTTAGTTAGGCTAATAGGTTTTGTTTTGCCTGGTTAGCACTTAGTCTGTTAGTCATAATGTATTTAAGGCAGTAGTGAGTAGTGTAGATATGGGCATGTGGCATTTACACTGCCAGTCTGACAGTTGTCATGTAGATAATTTACAAAGTGGCTGAGTTATATATATGTATAAAACTATAAATATATATATTGATGAATTCAACTGGCTTGGTGATACCTTTGACAACAACATCAAGCTCCAGACTATGCAAAATAATGGACCCTGCAAAAAGTGAAAGTTCTCCAAAAAGCCAATGTACCTAATCTGTATGTTTTGCTTCAAAGAAGGTTGTAGACTCCTTCATTATTTGGACTACATTGGAGTTATTGGACTAACAACCACAACATTGAGACTGTCTCACCTGCCACCTACAGTCTGGAGGACAGGGCAACAACCCTTGAGACAAGTTCACAAGACCATTGCTCACACTGTGCTGGAGGAATCCACCAGCATCATCATTACGCAGTGGCTCCCAATTTTGACCGATCAACAATTGCTGGCAAACTCCAGCTATCTGTTTTCAAACTACCAAAATTGTTTTACCTTTGAGATAGTTTTCAGTCATTTTTCTATTAAAATTTTCTTGATGTATCATATTTTATATATACCAAAATTTCATTGTTCAATGCTTCTATTAACTTGAAAAAATTCACTATTCAGGTCAATTCAACCTTCAAACTACTGGATTTGTCAGAACCATGAGACTGTTTTTAGAGTCATTTTTGGTGTTAAATTCTTGATTATCTGCATATTTTTGTGATTTTGTAATTATTTCAAACAATTTGATTTTTGAGTAGTATCCTATTTACATGATTTTATACTTATGTTGAACCAAATTCCATCACTCAATGAATCTTGTAACTTGATAATGAGTGATTGATACATTCAAAACGTTGTTAGGGAAATAAAAATGTTCATCTGTACTCTGATTTTCAATTTACCAGTGTCAATGAAAAATGTTGTTTGATCTATTGAAAAAACTAATAAGAAAATTGTTGATAAAAAAATTCTCTGGTCTTCAATGAAACCTGCTTAGAGGAACAACTTTTGCCAACCTATTCTAGTATAAATCTAGGTATATATAGGTATATTTTCCATGTATATATTTTTTACTTGCTCTTTCTGGTATTCTGATGATTAATTTTTATTTATTTTTTCAGTACTGCCACAAAATCTCCAGGACCCAAATCTAGATGGAAGAACGCAGCTAACATTGCCATTTAATTGGCTACTAGGAAGAATGGCTTCCAGTAGAGAGCAGGAGGACTACTGGGGGGAGAGTGACACAGCTCCTGCAGCATTGGACAATTTTTTTGATGAGAATGTCAGATTTTAACCTATAACATGATACTTATTTATTCACTTATTTTCAATTCAAAATTGAAAAAGCAAATTTAATTTTTGTGACTCATTGTGAGCCTTTGAGATAGAATTGGGTATTTTCTCTGTTTTATATATCTCCATTAGTGCTCAATTCTAATTTATATTTAAATTCTACCATCAGAACCATCACTGACTGACACATGACTTGCCCTTACACTAATATTTTCTGCAGCCAGTGGAAACAATTTAGGATAGAGAGTTGACTGCAAGCATTCTAATAACACTCTAAGCTTATCAATTATTCTGTATTGCGTTTGAAAAAATGAGAGTATTTATTTCTTATCGATATTGAATGTGTTTCATTGAAATGTGATGGTAAGCCAAGTGAAGTTGCAACATTTGTCATTCATGGTAATGATTGCAGTCTCAATGAACAAGTTAGATTTCCTTCTAGCATTTCACTAGTGGTCTATTCTTTACATTTCTTTGATAAATATCTTGTAAATTGAACTGTGTAGGTATATGTCTGAATTAGCTAATGTATTTTTTTTAATTCCATTAACAACATGAATTACCTACTATTTTTCTCACTGATAAAAACTTGGGTAGTAACTGATTTTAAAATTGTGTTTTTGCAAGGCAAGGCTAAAATAACAGAAATTCATACATGTAATTCTGAAGTTATAGTGAAACTATTACTAAGAAAAATCCTGTCTTAAGGTAATTATATAAAGAAATGTGTAAAGATCATACAACTGGAATGCCCTTAGTTGAAAATCACTTTTCTATGCATTCATCAAAGCATTGAACATCTATTATAAAATAACTCTGTACTCTTTTCACAGAGTACTGTAAGCTGGAGAGGGGCAAGTGAGTCAGGCGATTACCTTGTGGACTGGAGCAAGCGTGTGAAGCCCACCAAGACTGTGCCTGCTGTTCAAGGGACAGTTGTCAGTCCTGATATCAGCAGCACCTCCTATGTCAGTCCTGATGTCAGCTGTAACCTCAGTGACAGCATACTTGACAATATCACAACTGACAACCTCTCCAGCTCTAGTATTAGTGAAGGTAAGCTATCATTATTTTATAGGTTGATGTCAAATCTGTACTGTGTTTTATCTGTCTGAAATATTAGGAGTGAGCTGCATTGTATCTTGTCTCTCTCAGTACAGAACTCCTAAAATTCATTCCTAATGTTTAGAAAGTTTTAAAAGTGTCCTCTAATCTGAACAATGATTAATTCTTCTGTTTTAGACTTCAGTAATGATCTTTGGCACCATTTTCTCACATAATGAGGTGATGCATATAGTACTTCTGCAAATTGTTGTATGAGTTGTTGTTGATACTTCATTTACTAGGATTGGCATTGTATTTTGACTCCAATTCTATTCTTCATATTTCTTTTTGCTGAATTTTAAGTATACCTATTCCTTTGAAAATTCATTTTCTCTGAATTTAATGGCTGATTAACATGCAATCAACATCATTTGCAAAGGATTGGTATTCTATTCATGCAAAATTTTTGTAATAGAAACTAATGTCCAAGGCCCATACTTTCAAAAAAAGTTAAGAGATCATAAGTTCATTGGCCAATCATTGACGGCCTTTCAAGCAGAATCCACCAATCATAGACTAGAAAATAGAGCGTAAGTACTTACGTTCACTTAGTAGCGAATTTTGAAACTAATGTCCAGGTACTGTAGCCCAGCCCAGAGGTGTGGGGCGCAGTCTGGGATCTCTGGGGGAGAAGCTCCAGGACTGGAAGCCTCCGAGCGTCAAGAAGTGGAGCCACGCAGGTGCTGTGCTCTGTCAAGTGCCCTATTATTATTAGCAAAATATTTACTATGGAGTGTATATGACTTGTGAAAGCATTTGAAATTATTTAGGTATTATATGTGTTTATATTTTTTATAACTTCTGTAAATGTTGATTCTATGAAGCTTAACTCCCGTCTATTATTGATGATGGGATTTTTTGTATCGGAGCAACTGATTCCAGTAACAAACGTTATGCAGCTGACAGACCAGTTTCCTTCTCCTGAATAGTTGAATATCTTTTCACATATAATTGTGAAATAATTTTGATGCCAATAATATAATTGTCATTAATTGCGTCACATGAAGACTGATATGCACATGGGTGTGCTTATCAGACTGATGAAGACTGATGGGCGCATGGGGGTGCTTTACATTCTTTTGTACAACTGAATGTTTCTTCACATGTAATTGTAGAATAGTTATTGATGCCAATAATATACCGTAATTGTCATTAATTGTGTCACATTAATACTGAAATGCATATGCACATGGGTGTGGATACTTTCCATTCTTTTGCACAACTGTATGTTGCTATCATGTTATTGTAGAATAGTTATTGATGCCAATAATATAATTGTCATTAATTGTGTCACGTGTAGACTGATACGAGCAGAGGTGAGCAGGAGTGGTAGAGCGATGCAGCGGCTGCAGCGCACTGGAGCAACAGGTGGCGCAGCTCAGCAACCAGCTGCAGGTGACATGCGCGCTCTTATATAACTCTGCATGTTTTAATAATAATAATGATTGCCTTTGCTAGTGATAAGCTTGTTTGCTAGGATTTTTGACGGCATAAGAACATGATTATTGATTATAATTAACTTGGTTTGCCTTAAATTTGTTTTCCTTAGCATTGATCAAATTTGACCATTTTTTATCGAATAATGAGCTTATCAGTATTTGTCATTCATTTCCAATGATCAATGTAAATTTAATGAGAAAACTAATTAGTTGTGCATTTTGACAAACTATTGAGTGAATTGTTGCCCTGAGACACATTAAGAATATCGTACATTCTAAGAATATCGTACATTCTGCCACAGTATGATTAAATCCGTTTTCTGCTCACGTCGTTCTCGCGTAGCCTCGTGGCCGTTGCCGTGTCGGCTGCCGTCTATGCGCTATGCTCAAAATCCCTCCTTAAAAAATGATTTACAAGCCTTTTTTCAGGCGTCGTTTTCGCGTAGCCACGTGGCCGTGCCCGTGGCGGCCGCCGTCCACGCGATGTGCACGGGGCAGCCGTACGCCCTTCACTGCTACAGGAGCCTCAGTGACAAGCGGGAGCTGCTGGCCGCAGCCCTGCGAGCCTCCCACACCAGCACCATCATAGCCGTCCTGGTCTTCTGCAGGAACACTCTCAGCAGGCAGCTGTTCCTGCAGGTACTGCTGAGTGTTCTGCAGGAACACTCTCAGCAGGCCGCTGTTCCTGCAGGTACTGCTGAGTGTTCTGCAGGAACACTCTCAGCAGGCCGCTGTTCCTGCAGGTACTGCTGAGTGTTCTGCAGGAACACTCTCAGCAGGCCGCTGTTCATGCAGATAGGTACTTCAGACCTGTAAGCGACCGGTGAATTGAAAGATTAAATTAAAGTTGTAACATATTATTCAATTTATTTAGCTATTGAGAAAGAAAACACCAAATTAGTTATTTCTTACCGATATAATACTGACCGATATAAGTCACAATATTGATTAGAGTTATTACATGTTAAAATAATTTTTAGCTGAAGAGTGAGCTATTAAATATTTCCTGCTGCTCCTTGTTCAGTCCTGATATATAGAATGCATTATGGGTCAATGCGTTATTCGTCAGTGCATTATGCATCAATGCAGTATGCGTCTATCTATGCCTAGAACTTGCAGGTTGCTACAATTTATGATGCTTGGTGATTACTTTTTCAACGCCAGGTGATTACTTTTTCATTTGGAGTCAAATTAGTCAAGTCCTATTGAGCTTTTTTTTCATGCGAGCTCATCAGCAATTCGTAATATGAATCTGATTAAATAACCTACTCCAGTAATGTGAAAGATTCATTAACCTACACCAGTAATATGAATACGATTCATTAACCTACACCAGTAATATGAATACGATTTACTAACCTACACCAGTATTGCGCTATTCCTTCAGATGAGAGTAGCTTTCAATCTTACAGACCGAAAAGCCTTCCGTCTGCTGAAATGAAATGAATTTGTTTGATTTTTTTTTTTCAACAGCAAGCAACAAGGTACTATGCAAGCTCAACATTAAATTGGAAAAATTTATTTTATTAAATCTGTTTGGTGGCTGAAGGATTATTAGTTTAATTATTATTGACAGTAATGTCAGTGTTGGCTCTATTTCATTTCATCTGTTTTTAAGGCTAAATTGTTACGAATTATTATTGACAGTGTTGAACTGAACCATGTCGGCCATTACAGGAGCTGCAGAGCAGCGCTGTGGCAGCGCAGAGCTACTTGGGCTACCTCAAGCAACGCCGGCAGGTCATTCCTTATATCATTAAATTGCATTAAATCTTTAGTTCACCCAGAATTTAGATGCAAAGAAAACATTTGGTTAATTAACCATATCTCTCAGATGGCCATCGTGCTTCACTGTTAAAATTCTTCATCATAAACTGGTTGCAGTGTAATGAAAATTCAACTTATTTATCAGTAAAAAGCATTAAGCCATATCTTGTCCCTTCATGAGATAACAGCAACTCTTCAACAGGCGTTTATATTTGAATAACAATGAGAAAGAAGCTCTGAAATGAAAGTTTTGATTTAATCCATATTTAAATTTTCTGGTTATCTAACTCAGTGTTATTTTATGTGGGTCGTCTCACGCATCTGCCAGCAATGTAACTGGGGTCATAGTATCAAGAATAGTTTAAAGTTTGCAATTCCTTTGGCCAATCACTGACCGCCTTTTAAGGGAAACCTACCCATCAGAGTTGATACATTAACCGCTATGTATACTTCCTACTGCTACGTGTACGTAAGCAAGTCTGAGTCCCTGGGGCCATACTTTCAAAAGTCGCTAAGTGAACGTAAGTACTTACGCTCTATTTTCTTGTCTGTGATTGTTGGATTTTGCTTGAAAGGCCGTCAATGATTGGCTGATGAACCTACGATCTCTTAACTTTTTTTGAAAGTATAGGCTCTGGACACTTTATTAGGATTTTAATGTAATATTTTACGTTTGTGCAGTACAGAGAGGCCATGGAGCTTCTCCAGGACCTGGGGCGCCACGAAGAGGCCGCCTTGCTGCGCTATCGTCAGTGTCTCGCAATCACCGACCACGCCAAGAAGACTGCAGCCCTCAGAACCCTGACCTCATCTTCCCTCTCCTCCCCCGCCCTCACGCACTACAAGACACTCATCAACGACCAAATAGATCTTCTGGAGCGACAAAAATCCATAGATGAAGAGGATTCGAAGAGCAGCAGTAATGCTTTATTCAAAGAATATCCACGTGCGTCAAGTGTGTATGACAAGCCCCTGCTGACGACGCTGTACTACTGCGCCATGTACCACTGGACCAACAGTGGCAGTCACTGCGCCCCTGCAGCCTTCAGGAGCGCGTACAGACTTACGGAGCGGCAGTTCCTGTGGGCGGTGGTGCGGGGCAGGGCGAGAGTCAAGCATTACTTCCTGCCTGAGCAACTGCCCACTCTGCTCACCACCAGGGTGAGTGGTGCCCATGTGGTCCTGCTCGCTCAAACCCACACACTCAGTCCCGCACCCTCAGTCCCGCACCCTCAGTCCCACACCCTCACTCCCACTACCCTCACTCCCACACCCTCACTCCCACTACCCTCACTCCCACTACCTCACTATCACTAACACCCTCACTCCCACACCCTCACTCCCACACCCTCACTCCCACACCCTCACTCCCACTACCCTCACTCCCACTACCCTCACTCCCACTACCCTCACTCCCACACTCTCAGTCCCACAACCTCAGTCCCACTCACCCAGTCATGAGCCTGGCCCACTCACACCTCTAAAAGTTGGCTTGACTAGTTGGCTCTTTTCTTCTACGACTTACCCTTGTTATTTTTAGTACTACAGGAGACGAGACAACTTTCCAAAAGACAAAAAAATTCAAACTGTTTGATGCATCAAAATATTTTTTTATATTTCTCGACCTTGCACAAATTAATAATCATAATCAACAGGAAATCATTCATTGGGGATTACAGGAATGATACCAGAATATGTTCTCTCAAATCCTATATTGTTGTTGAATAATAACTGTGAAGAAACAGGGTGGGCTCTGACAGTTGCAAGAGCTGTCGATCATCCGTGATGACACTATTATTATGATCATTTATAAGCTTATGAAAATGAAATATTTGTAGCAATAATGAACATTCGTGTGTGATTATGAGCAACAGGCGTGGTGAATATCAAAGCTTAAATAATAGATAATTTGTTATTAATATGAATGGTTTGCGTGAACATGGGTGATGGATCTTGTAGTTTATTATTTTTAATTGATGCATATAAATGATTAAGCATCGGTTTGGGTTCTAGTAGCCTAATATCCATATTAATATAAAAGATTGGGAACATAGACCTGTAAAAACTTGATGAAGAAAAATTATTTTAATATGTATTGGTATTATGAATAAAAGTATCTAATAACTTGTTAAAGAAAAATCATTTAAATAGTTAATGATTGTAAATGTATGAGCACCTGTAAAAACTTGATTAAGAAAATTAATTTTAATTTGTTATGGTAGTACGAATGAAAGTATCTAATAACTTATTAAAGCAAAATAATTTAAATAGCTAATGTATGAGCAGACGGGCGGGATGCTGGGCAGCCTGAGCGGGGCGCTGAGCGCCGTGAGCAGCTCCCTGGCAGGAGCGCCGCGCCCCTCGCTGCCCCTCGACCGCCTGCTGGACGCCCTGCACGCCGCTAGCGCCCCCCACGCCGTGAGGAAGGGGGAGGGGGGGTTTGGTCAACTGCATTTTCTTCTATAACTTCACTGCACTGTCTTTGGTCAAATTCACTGCACTGTCTTTGGTCAAATTCACTGCACTGTCTTTGGTCAAATTCACTGCACTGTCTTTGGTCAAATTCACTGCGCTGTCTTTGGTCAAATTCACTGCGCTGTCTTTGGTTAAATTCACTGCGCTGTCTTTG